ACTTCCATGGCCTGATTGGACTTTGATTTGTGCCATAAATTCACTTATTTCATTCCAAAGACATTCAAGGACTTTGGAATCCCATATACCCCCTCCCTCCACCTGAAATGACCCTACTTGAGGCTGTTTTCCCAAGATTGTATACTCTATCCCGTCATTGCCAGCTGTTGGTATTGTTATCCAAAAAGCTCCCCTGTAATGCTGTTATCTACTTTTTGCCTCATAAGCGTACATTTCCTTATTCTCAAACCCTCCCTATCCCTAATTAGTTAAGAGCCATCTCTGCAGCCGTATTTGTTCGATTCACCAAGGACACTGGATCCAGCATAGGACCACCTCAGCATCTCCCTTTTATCCTAGTACTGTACTAGGATAACAGTGATAACAGTGTACCTTGAACTGAAACATCATCCCATTCCAATTTGACCTGCAACTGAGGTGCTGAACAGAGAATACTTCCATTCAGGAGGTTGTATTTTCAAACAAAGTGTGCAAATTCTGAAAATGTGTTTTCTTAACTATCTGAGACAAAATGTTTATTTCGGAAGGACAGTCCAGGTCCTGTACTTGTGTGTTGTGTTCATCCTTCTGTGGACTGACCTACGTGAGTTCTTGGTCTGGTATTTTTTTCGGTTTTGCAAATCTAATATCCTTTGTTCATATTCCTTCCATTTCCATATCCCGTCCAGCCCGATGGCCCTAATATTTGTTCTTGTCTTGCCTCTTGATCGTTCCTGTTTTCATTGTTCCGCTTTAGAGGTTGTGAGTGCAACATCTTAAGCCCTAAACTCTGATATTCTCTCACTAATCCTCTTTACTTCTCCCTCCCCCACCACCCCCCAAAAAATTTTTTTAAAACTTACCTCCTCATTTGTTTTAGTGTCAATTCACCTGGCTTGGTGTCAATTTTTGTTTGCTACATCTCCTGAGAACCGCTATGGGACATTTTACTAACTTAAATGCATAGTATAAACGTTTTGGTTTAACATCTTCAGGAAATGGCTCAGATATAATAGCACTTGCTTGATGGAAAAGTTAAACTCAGATTAAAGTTGCTTCTTTGCTGATTTGAGATTAAGAATTTACTCCCTTGTTCTGTGTAGAAAGAGAAACCATGCCTTCAGTGCCTTCCTCAATGGTGCCTTCAGTAATGAATACAATCTCAGTGAAAGAGGGGAGAACTAGTATGCAGCTGAGTCCCTCAGTGAGTCCAGTGCTGCCACGTCCAGAGCCTGTGGAAACACAATTTCAAACTCTACAACAGCCTGTTAGTTTGCCACCTTCCAAACCTCAATCTCTGCCTCAGTTCCGACAACATCCAATGGTGGTAAGTCTCTCCATAAATCTGCCAAGGCTCGAATAACAATAATAGAGTACTACAGCAAGATTCTTGCATGAATCCTGTTAACCATAATTTTCTGGTCAAGCTTCAAACGTGCATGGGCTGATATCTTAAACGTTCATGTTTTGAGAACAGGAAATGGCCATTAATCCAATTAGATCTCAACGTCAACTTCTCGTCATTTCTGCCCGTTATTGCTTTACTGAGGGATATTGTAGTTCTTGGAACTCATTCATTCTGACTGTTGTAATTGCTTTACAAGGAGACTTAATTCATAAACAAAAAAAACAGAAATTGCTGGGAAAAGTCAGCAGGTCTGGCAGCATTCCTGGAGAGAAATGCAGAGTTAATATTTCAAGTTCAGTGACTGTTATTTAGACCTGAAACATTAATTCTGCATTTCTCCTCACAGACACTGCCAGACCTGCTGAGTTTTCCCAGCAATTTTTGTTTTTGTTTCTGATTTCCAATATCCACAGTTCTTTGAGACGTAATTCATGTTTACAATTTGTGTACCTTTGCTCTGTTTGAAATCCCTCCTTAATCTTGAATTGTCTGTGTCCCTGAGTTTTTGAATCGGTTAATTTGTTTCAATCAATTCTTGTTGCCTTCTTCATAATTTTGATAATAATTGTTATTTCTAATTATCTAATCTTGTTTCATGACTCGAGTCCTGAGATATGATATCCTTATGGTTGGCTTAAATCAGACAATTGTACAGTGATGTATATACCAACAGATTTGAAAATTAAAATCTTATTAAATATTTCTCATAGCTGGAGGATCAAGCTCCACCTCGACCACCTCTCCCTCACATGTATAGCCCTGATGATGAGCCACCAGCTGTACCACCTCTTCCAAAAGATACCACAGTCATCAGGCATACGTCAGTCAGGGGACTGAAACGCCAGTCTGATGAAAGGAAGAGAGACCGGGAGTTTGGCCTGTACTTGAATGGAGATTACAAAGTAAGCAAATGAAGTAAAACTTTCTACTCGTAGCTGGAGGATGACAATTTGTATTCTATGAAAGTGTATGGTGAAAACCAAAGTTGTTTTTTTTCCCCACAATGGCTTTTTTTAAACAATCTACTTATACAAGATAGAATTTTTAAAATTTAGCCCATTCAAAACTAAATTCAATTTGTCTGAAGAGAGTCTAGTTTTTGCACTTTGCAAAGCAATAATGGATCAGAAATGCAATGTGATCCTTGTGCATTCATCCATCTAAAACAGCCCTAAAGTTCTGCCATTTCTGCATCTAGTTGTTCATTAAATGGCTCAGGCCTTTCATCTCCAGTGCTTTGTTTGGAAGTTATTTCACATGTTTACGTTTTGCAACTTTTCTGATGTTCATCTGAATTTGCTTTTTAATTAGCTAAGTTTTGTCTTCCTTCCCATGGCTTAATTTAAAATAGTATTCCATATTATTTCTTCCCTTTGTTTAACTTTCCTATATAAAGGCACCTCCTTGGAGCATGTTTCCAGGCTGAAATGCTGAATTCCTACCATTTGGATCATTGGTTTGAGATCCGTTTAGTAATCGTTTACTCAAGGTCTGCTTTAACTGTTCAGTTTTTCAAATTGATCAACTATAATTGCAGGTTGTGAAAAAGGATCTATTTGGACTGACTACTGTCAACTGACTATTAATATCATTTATAATCAGTTAGTAGTAAAAATGGTTGTGGACAAACTCTGGATCAATTCTAGCATGTTAAATTTATTACTTTGTTTCAGGCTGAACTGCGTACTTATATGAGTGAACCTGAACTCCTATCAGTTGGGAATGGGCTCAACAGGTCCACGGCTGGAGCCTTTGGCCTAGACAATGGCTTGCAGACACTGACTGGTAAAGGTATGTTTGGACACGTAGTAAATATTGTAGATGCAGCAGGCAGTGAAGAAGGTAAATAATATGTTACCCTTGATAGCAAGAAGATTTGAGCACAAGGGGAAGGGATGTCTTGTTATAATTGTACAGAGCCTTGGTGAAACCACACCTGGAGCATTGTGCCTCCTTATCCGATGAAGAGTGTCCTGTCTGTGGAGACATTTCAACAAAGGTTCACCAGATTCTTTCCTGGGATGGGTGAACTGAAAAATGACGAGGTACTGGATCAGTTAGGACTATACACAAAACAAATTGCTGGAAATATTCAGCATCTGTGGAGAGAAATCAGAGTTAACATTTCAGGTCCAGCGACCCTTCTTCAGAACTGATGGTAGCTAGGAAAAGGTTTGCTTTTATGCAGAAGATAGGTTGGGGGTGAGGGCGTAAGGAGTAAATGATAGGTAGAGATAGGTCCTGGAGACAGAGAAAAACAATTGGACAGACAAAGGAGTGGGTAACGATCAGCCTAGGAGAATGACTGGCTGCTAATGGGGGCTATTAGTGGCTGACAATGGGTTGTGATGATAGTAGATGATGTGATAACAATGCCTTGTGTTGGAGGTGAGGGGGGCGCAGTTGGGATAAGGATGTGGGACAATGTACCTCAAGCCTTAAAATTGTTAAACTCAATATTGAGTCTAGAAAGCTGTAAGTGTAAAATGAGCTGCTGTTCTTCCAGCTTGCGCTGAGCTTTGCTGGAGCACGGCAACAAGCCTGAGACAGATTTTGCCCAGGGGACAAGGTGGTGCGTCGAATGGCAGGCAATTGGAAGCTTGGTCTTTTTTGTGGACAGTACATAGATATTCTGCGAAGTAGTCACCCGGTCTATACTTCAGTTGCCCAGTGTGGAGGAGACCACTTTGTGAGCAGTGAATGCAGTGGACTAGATTGAGTGAAGTGCAGGTCAAGCGCTGCTTCACCCGGAAGGCGTGTTTGAGCCCTTAGATATTAAAGACATAAATGGGCAGGGATTACACCTTCTGCGGTGGCAAGCAAAGGGGCTGTGGGGAGGGATGGGAGTGAAAGAGGAGTGGACTAGGGTGTCCTTGAGGGAACAGTCCTTGAGGAAGCCTGACAAGGGAGGGGATGGAAATATGTGTCAGGTGGTGGCTAATGATCCTCTGGATATGGATGCCAGTGGGATGGTATGTGAGGTCAAGGAGGACCCTATTGCTGTTAGGTGAGGGCTGAAGTGCGGGAAATGGGTTAGACTCAGCTGAGGGCCCTGTCAGCTATGGTGCCAGGCAATTCTTGTTGTGGAAGAAGGTGGACATTTCGGAGGTCCCCTTGCCAAAGTTGGCATCATCTCCTTTACCCCCTCGCTGTGCCCCATCACTGGGCCCAATGCATTTAATTCTGATTTCTCTCCACAGATGCTGCCAAACCTGCTGAGTATTTCCAGCATTTTCTGTTTTGTTTCTGATTTCCACCAGCTGCATTTTTTTTTTTTTGTTTTTTTTCCAGTCAGGACTACATTCACTGGAGTGTAGAAGAATGAGGCAGAGGGAGGATCTCATTAAAAACTATTGCATTCTAATAAAAATCAGCAGGATAAGTGCAGAGAGGATGTTCCCAGTGACTGGGGAGTTTGGAACCAAAGGTCATAGTCTAAGGATGTGGGGTAGGACATTTAGGACTGAAATGAGGAGAAGTGAGCCTGTAGAATTCTCTGCTGCAGAAAACTGTTGAGGTAAATGCTTTCAAAAAGGAGTTAGACATAGTTCTTAGTACTAAAGGGATCAAAGGATATGGGAAAAAGCAGAAACAGGCTGCTGAGTTGAATGATCAGCCATGATCATTTAAACAGCTGAACAGGCTTGAAGGCTAAATGGCCTACTGTTTTTTTTTTGATGTTTTTAAACTGTTGAGAAATTTACTTTTCCTTTTACTGTTTATGGTTCTTGACAGTTGAAGGATTTGATTTCTTGCATAGCTTTGCTTTAACACGTGCCTTCCAATGCCTAACACATTGTGTGCGCGTGTGTGTCTGTGTGCACGCCGTGCCTGCACATGTGAGAGCAAGCAGTGGGTGTAGAAAGCCTATTCCACAGGAAAAGTAATCTCAACCAGACAGAGTATCTAACCATCGACCCTTGATGTTCAGTGATATTACAAATGCTAAATTCTCTACTGTCAACATCCTGAAGGCTTCTAATGACCAGAAACTGAACTGGACCAGTCGCAAAATACTGTGGCTACAAGAGCATGTCAGAGGCTAGGAACTAGGAACTCACCACCTGATCCCTCTAGTTTCTGCCCACCATCAATAAGGCACAAGTCAGGGGTATAATGGAACACTCTCCGTACTTGCCTGGATAAATACAGCTGAAACATCCAAGGTAAAGCAACCCCTGACTGATGTCCCATCCACCATGTCAACAATTGCTTCCACCCACAGCAAATGACAGCAGTGTGTACTGTTGATGAGATACACTTCAGTAACTCATCGAGGTTCCTTTGACCACACCTTCCAAATATGTGACTTTTACCTTCTCCACTGAGAAGAACAAGGGCAGCAGATGCATGGGAATGCCACCATCTGCAAGTTCCCCTCCAAACCACACACCATCCTGATTTAGGACTATATTACTGTTCCTTCAGTTACTAGGCCAAAATCCTGAATCTCCTCCCTAAAAGCACTGTGGGTAACAAACTGGGCTGATTCAAGAAGGCAGCCCACCACCACCACCTCCAGGGTTATTAGGAATCGACAGTAAACCTGACTGCATCTAATGTCACAATATGAACACTTAAAGGGTGGTTCTGAGGTCAGTTATAGTATTCTGCTGCTTAGCTGAGGGCAGTTTCCTACAAACAGGCTGAAGTTCAAAGCTGTCATTTCCCTGTTTTCCATTCCTCAACTAGCATTGTAGATAACTTGTTGGGCTATTGCTGAAGAACGATGTCAAAAGATATGAAAAATAGTTGTAGTGGGGGGATGCAGTGCCAACCAGTGATGGTGTAGGTCTGCACTTATGTTTGTGCTACAGTGAGGGTCTAAGCAGAGCCCAGGATTTTTCACAAGGTGGAAATGGAAAGGTAAAATCAGCACATGTCACAATCATAGTTCCTAGTAGTTTCTGGGTTCACAAAATAACATTGGCAAACTTAGATTCTCAGAATGCCATCACAGCAATGCCCGGCATGTGCCAAGAGACCTTAAGGAAGAATTTCACAGGACAATGCTCCAGAAGGATTCAATAGCAGATCCCCATATTTGCTTATGGTGATTTGAAAGGTCATGTCGAATGTGATAATTAATAGTGGGAAGCAATGTTTCTTCTAAACTGCACAGCTCCTACAAGGTTCCACGCAATGTGATCAACAATGGCACACCAATCACTGCATTGGCATTTGGTTCTGGAAGTCACTGCCATTTACAGACTTTAGAGACCCGTGGGGTCAGAGAACTAAGGGGAATGCCGGTGGGAAGGCAAGTAGTGAAGCTGACACAAGGATTCTGCAAATGATATAGACCAGTTAAGTTAGTGTGCAAAACCATGGCAACTGGACTATAATTTGGGAAACGGGGAGGTTCTGCTGTTTGGCAGGAAGAATAGAGAAACTGAATATTATTTAAATGGGGAAAGGCTACAGAAAGCTGCAGCACATGGATTTGGGAGTCCTCATGCATAAATAACAAAAAGTTGGCATACATTTTCAGCTGATAATAGGGGAGGCAAATGGAATGCTGGCCTTTGTTTCAAAGACTCTGAATAATTATAGTAGGGAGGTCTTGCTAAAACTGTAACTATTTAGACCACAGCTGGAATACTGTGAATGGTTTTGGTTCCTTCATCTCAAGAAAGACATACTGGCATTAGAAGCAGTAGAGAAAAGATTTTCACCAGGATTTTCCTGGGTATGGAATCCTGGGTCTTATGAGGCGAGCTTAACAGGGTAGACACTGGTTATTTTCCCCTTGAGGGAGATCCGAGGACCAGAGGGCACAATCTCAGAGGAAGGGGTCACCCAGTCAGGACAGAGATGAGAACAGTAAATCTGTGCAAACACTTATCAGAAAAGAACTGTAGAGGTGGAGTTATGAAGTATATTCAAGACTGAGATAGTCAGATTCTTTGATCAATAAGGGAATCAGAGGTGATGGGGAAAAGGCAGGAAAGTAGAGTTGAGGATTATTACGTCAAATATGATCTGCTTGTCTGGTGGAGCAGACTCAGTGGCTGAATGACCTACTTCTGTGTCTTACAATATTTTAGAAGTTGGGTTCTTATGAATAATGTGTGCAATATGCAAGAATTAGAATAAAGTATAGTCCTAGCTTGCAATTTTAGATATCTGAATTTCTTATCTATAACAGTGAAGGCCATTTTAAACTCCAATATATCATTCTGTAATTTGAAGGTACAATTGGAAACTCCTTACCCCAGAATTGTGGAAATAGACCCAGAAACTTTATCAAAATAATTTTTCATGCTCCAACTGCTCACCTAATTTCTGGACGTCTTCCCCAATGAACTTTGGTCTGACTCATTAATGTTTGGTTTCTTTGTCACAAATTGCCTCTGGCTATCTTGCCCAAGTGGTCATTATTCAAATGTGAGATTTGACTGTATTTTTGCACCAGTGAAAATGGTATGGGAGGCCTGAATCCAGAACTCCCACCCATGACCCTGGCCTCTCACCACTTTGAGCAGGAGATGGAGACAGATTTTGATTACACATGCATCGGTTAATGAACTAACTGCACATGTTCAAGTACAGCTGACTTCATTTTCATTAGTGCACTTTTGGCCTGGTGGGAGTATGTGTAAAATGACAGTTGTTGTTTTTGGAGAGATATTGTAGCATATTGGTAAGTAAGGTGAGATCATCAAACTCATTCAAGTCTGTCAGTTGAGCCTAGGTGTTTCTGGATCTGCGAGATTCTATGGTGGCTTCCTTGGTTTCTGAACCATTACTTCTGCACAAAATTAAATTTCTTAATATTGGTACAACATTTTGGCAGGGTAATTCCCTGTACTGTTGTATTTTGTCTTTTATACTTGCACAACGTTACAAAGCAAGTCATTTTCAGAAACAGTAATTTCCATCTTATTATTCCCAGGATTGTCGTTGTCTAACTCAGGGCTACAGCAGTCATCAACCATTGCATCTTTTGTCACGCTTAGGCGGAAAAATGATGAAACAAGCTCTAAGGTAAAACCATCTTTCAGTCTGATACTAATTTGGCTTGCAATGGCTTTGGCTTCGATGGTGGGCATGTTAACTTTGAAGTACTTGCTGGAGGTGTTCAGAAATGTAATTGCAATTTTTCTTCTCCCAAACTTAAGAAAAAGTGTTTTGCATTGTCGGACACCAAAGTAAAATGCTGTTAAGTACAGAGATGTCTTGGGTCGTGCTAGTGATTTCAGATGTTGAATTAAGAGCGTTACACAAGATTTTTTTTGTCCATCTGTGGGATGCCTGTGTCACTGAAGAGACCAGCATTTATTACCCATCCCTAATTTCCCAGATTAAGTGTCAACCACATTGCTATGGGTCTGGAGTCACATGTAGGCCACACCAGCTAAGGATGGCTGAAGGACATTAGTAAACCAGATGGGGTTGTCAATGTTTTGTGGTCATCATTAGACTAATAATTCCAGGTGGTAGAATTTGAATTCAAATTCCAATCTGTCATGGCAAGATTCAAACGTGGGCCCCCAGAACGTTGCTAAATCTCTGGATTAACAGCCCTGTGATAATACCTCTAGGCCTTCACCTCCTCTTCGGATTTTGACTGGAGTACTTTTTCCCCCAATCAATGTGCTGAAACTGAAGCATTAAGTATTCTCACTGATAACACTGAAAACTGTTTGAAAAGCATATTAAAATGATGCTGTCTCTACTTTCCCTATTTTCACCAGATATGGATTTAAGTAGTACCTGTGCATTGAGGAATGTATTTCAATTTGTAAGCCTCTTCGTTATGTAAAAACAGTTACATTTTTGTTCCCACTACAATCTGTCATGTATTCTATTTTGCTACCTGAGGAAAGGACCTGGCAAGACTGAATCCAATGTCGGCAGATTAATGCAGCTGAGTTGATTTAAAGAAATTTAAGGATTACAGTTTTGGTCTTGTCTTTTTTGTAGGTTCTGAGTCTGATTCTATTAAAGGTTTCTAGGAATTGACTTCATTTTCTCATTTGCACTAATTAATTGAGCATGTTATGATTCAAACCACTTACATATGTTTTTGGATCAATGTAATGCAAATTTCTCTGTTGTAATCTTCCCTAACACACACTCTCTGAGGCTCAGAATCATCAACAGCTTTCCAAGTGAAATAATAGGTAAAAAGCTACTGCAATTTAAGTGGTAAGTAAGAATGTGGAGTTAAGATTTCTGTCAGATCAGCCATCATTTTGTTAAATGGCAAAGTGTCTTGAGGAAAAAATGACCTACTCTTTTTCTCCTAATTTGTATGTTTGGACGAACAATGTTGTAGAAAAAGAATTACTAGCTCATTTTATTTTAAGTGGTTACTTTTGCACGTTTCCAAGTCTGCAATTCTCAGTCTGTGATTGCTAGGAACTTGGATGCTTAACTGTTTCATATGCCTGTTTGGTGAGAAGATTTCTGCACGCGCCGTTAATTTTATTGTCAGTAAATCTGCTTATGAAAAGGCGCCTGTGATATCAAATATGTCAATTCAGTATGACTCAGCCCAGTTGTTCATGCCTTTCCCAGCACCAGTTATTCTGGAACTATTGTTATTGACCTTCTACTACCCCTCCCCCTCTCCAAACACAGCCCAACATACAATTCCCATTGCTATTCTTGGGTATGGTATTTGGAGTTTGCTGTACTACCGACCTTGTAACCTCTGGATGGAATACTTGCTGAGAAATATCAGGTCACTAAAAGTTGGCAAAGGATTTCACTTGCCAATCAATAATTATGCCTGATTCGAGAAAAAAATTCGATAAGTGAATAATTATCCACCAAAATGATTACTATATAGTTTGAAATATGGCTTCATTCCTTTTCTAAAGGAAGTTCCCACAGTTGTTTCGAACAATTATTGCAAAGTGGAATTGCTGTAAAATCTTGGTTTGTGTAAAAGGCTGATTTAGCAACTTCTCACCTCTCTTTCCTCATGTTGTTGCTGTTGGTACAGGAAAGGCCAAAGAGTGCCTTGGAGCGTCTCTACGGAGAACACCAAAGAGGCAGAATGAGTGCAGAGGAACAGTTGGAGCGCATGAAGAGGCATCAGAAGGCTTTGGTTCGTGAGCGAAAGAGAACGCTGAGTCTTGGAGAACGGCATTCCACATCGTCTCGGACCTCTTCCAGACCATTGTCTGTTGATGTTGGCTCAGTACGTTAGTTTCTCCAAAAAGTACAATAGCAAATAAGGAATGCAATAGCTGCAAAGAATAGAATATGCATCCCTTCCATAAGAAGGATCCATCTAAATAGACTGATGAGATGAATACTCTGTTCAGTATGATCTGAAGGGATTATGCAAAGTATTAGCAAATACACCGTAGTTAGTAAAATGACTAGCTGCTCATTTTTATCAGCTGCAAAATGTGGGAAGGTTATTTGGTATAACTGCAGGTAAGTTGGTATGAGGACTGTGCTGTTTGAGTAGTGTTTGAATGCTATCAGATGGTTTTGGATTTGGAAAACTATTTCACTGGAGAAAAGGGTGTCATAGAACGTGCTTCCGCTATAACCCAGATAGTTAACAATTTCATGTATGGAACGGTTTGAGCCTTTCAGTATCTTCTGTGGCAGGTTTGTTTAACAGAATTTTAAAAAAAATATTAAACTGGAATTTTTTTTTGAAAACAATTTCTAGAATTTGAAAATGCCAAATGTCATTTTGAACTTGAAAGATATCTCCTTAAATTGAATTAGGAAACATATTTGTGCTTTACTATTGTGGAGTATCAATGTCCAAAATTTTCAACTAAATGCTTTATTTCCTCCTTTGAATAGTGATTTAAGTAATTCTGGTTGCCAATACTGGTGTATCAAACAAATAGACCTTTATGAATTGATAGCAAGGTTCTGTACAGTTGAATTTGGATTTTCAACTGTAGCTGCTGATAAGGCTCAGAGTTCCTGTAATGATTGCTAAAGGGCATTAAACAGCAAAGCTCTAGCCTGTACAATCAATATGTTGCTTCCTTAGAGAAGAAATCTTGTAGGTGAATGGAGATCTTTCACCGCAACTAACCACGTGCAATTAAACCACTCATTGGCAGTTAACTTAGAGTTCAGAATTAGATCTGCAGTAGATTTACCATTAAATTGTACACTCTACCTTTTGAAAATCCTCTATATCTGAATCAATGCACAAGTTACCCAACTGTTGGCAATTTCTCACCCATTTCTCATGCTTTCATCATTAAGACTTTTACTCGCTTGTCTGTAACCTCTAACCAGATGATTTGTCTTTTGTGTGTTACCAGGCCTCACTGAGTTTCTATGTAGCAGTGCGTTGTGGTACTTATGTAGTAATGCAATACTCGCGACCCTTCTTAGGTCCTCACTTCGTGTATCTATTCCCTTTTCGGGTCTAATATTTCAAAAATTAATTCACTTTAGTTCATGCTTAAACCAAACAGTTAACCAGCAGTGATCACTGTTAACAAATTACTGAATATTTCTAACATCCTCAGTAGAAAGGAGATCTTTAACGAGTGGCACTGTTCATGTCAAGTGTCCGTGAATCCCTGTTTCAGTTGGCTTTTAATTTAGCTAAATTGTACTGGATTAGTATTACACATTGACAAATTGTTAGATACAAATTGTTCCATTACCACAGGTTATTTTAAACTTAGAAAAAGTCTGAATTCATAATGTTCGATTACAATGCACAGTAGCAGTTTTCAGTTATCAGCAACCATTTACAAACTTTTGAAGACTGCCTGTTTAATGTATAGAGCTCAGCATGTGTTGACGCTTGGTATAAAATCACTGCCTGTCTCTGGAATGAATCCTCAGTCGAACCAAACATCTGGAGAGGCCAAGAATGGGACAAACAAAGATTAATATCTACAAAAATCCACTAGGAACCAAATTGTGAAACAAATAATGTCATGACTTGGAGTGTGTTTTGAAGAAGTGCCCTTAATTTAGTAAATTCATTGCCTGCAGCTTTATCAAGTGGTCTTGTACATGAATTTTCTGGTTTCCAAGCATTTGTGCTAATTTTTTTCACATATAGAATAACTGCAAGGATAACCAGATCTAAAATATATACTGTAAAATTCCACATGTAGTTTGCCTCTCATTATTGGATTATTACTTTGAACAAGAAAGGTACCATCTGTATACTGGTGCAAGTTCTCTTTTTAAAAGAGGTCTGCAATTTTTAAACAAAAACAACCACTGTAAAGTAGGATGCAATTTGTACATGAATATGATTTGTAATCTGGATTTGAAGGTAGCTGATAGCAAATGATACAACATAGTTGTGAAATATAGGTGCCGTTTATTTGTTATTTAACCATTGTGTCATGCAACAAGTGTAGTTTCTTATTACATAAAATGCAAATAAATCTGGTAATTGAGATATTAATCAGTGATAATTTTCCTCATCATTATGACTAATCTGTTAGTTGTATTTTTATGCACTGTTGATTAATCCCATCACAATGAGGCCTGGTTCTAGGTACAAACTGTTCATCTCTTGCGCAATGCCTTCTTGCACAAACACACACAGATGAATACAAACAAATCCTTTGAAATGGAAAAGCTTGCATGTCAACATAACATTCTTACAACTGAAAGGATCATCTTGTGGCTTCATGCATCAAAAAACTAAACAAGGTATCTGAACATATTCTGACTCAGAATAATTGCAAGTCTATGTGCCTTGGAATAAAGTGGTGAAATTTCTTTGCCTTCTTCACTCTTTTCCTAATTTACGTCACATTTGGTGCTTGTGCATTTTCAATTCAGTTACAAGGAGTGATTGAACTATTGCCGAACATTAGCAAAACAATTTGATGGTGACCACCACAAATATGTTTAAATATAGCTTTAAATTGTCAGTTTTCTGTACTTTAAGTATGTCCTATATCTATGCTCTGAAGAAAGACTACAAATTATTTTCCGAATTTAGTACTTTGTGTATGGTTTTCATGCAATTGGCTAGTTTTACAGGAGGAAAGATATGTTTCATGCTGTAACTGAAGAATCTCATTTCTTTTACTTGCATGCAGTGTAGTTTGTATCTTCAAAATTATTAGTTGGGCTCCAAAATTAGAAATAGTTCCACTTCATTTTCCATTTTACTATGCAGTCAAAGTGTATTCAAATTAACTAGAAGTTGTTGTTTGCTTGCCTGAATCTAATTTTTACTTTTCATATTTCCCAGAGCACAGCATTTTAAATGTGAACAAGGATTTTTAAAATGTCTTGTGTTGTAAAAGGCATCGAAATGCTAAACATTTATTGCCTATTTCTAATTTCCCTTCGGAAGATAGTGATGGGATGTTGTTTGGTAGAGGCTTTGACCCAATAACAATGAAGAAACACTGGTATATTTCCACATCTGGATGGTATGTGTTAAAGGGAGAGTTGCAGATAGAATAGAATATCAAATCCTTTATTGCCACTTGTATTACAATATAGAAGTATAGGAGTATAGTCAACAGTTTTTACAAGGGCTGCCTTTTAATGGCGTCATCTTAGGTACAAGTACCTAGGTACAAATCTTAGAGTTAAAAAGAAAAAGTCTTAAACAAAGGAGTTAAAAGGAAAGCATAAGCATTACGTAGAAGTAGTTACAACGTAGTGGAAAGGTTTTAAATTGGGTTACCATGTGCCCTCTGCCCTTGTTCTTCTAAACTGTATAGCTCCTGTGGTTTTTTCTTTCATGATGCTATTGAAGAAACTTTGTTGAGTTGCTGCTGCGCATCTTGGTCACACTCTGCAGCCATGATGTGCTGGTGCTGGGTGGAGTGAATATTTGTGATGAATGGGTTATCCACGAAGCAGGTTGCTTTTCAGTAGATGAAGAAGATGCACCCATTGAGGCAAGTGAAGAGTTATTCCATAATATTCCTGACTTATGCTTTTCTAAATAATGTAAAACTTCAGGAGGCAGTTTCTGATCTGCGCCTGTAGCTGTAGTGTTTAAGTTGCTGGTCCAGTTAAGTTTCTCATTGAGGGTAAAAATGAGGATATTGCTGGGAGGTTAGATTTTAAAAACCTCATTGAATGCTCTCGGAATCTGCTCATTGCCTGATGGTTTTGTGACATAACTAATGCATGCTATTTAGGAATGTTGGTCATGTCTTGCTGTATGCAAGCATGGATTGCTTCATCATCTAAGCTGTTGTAAATGAAACTGAAGACTGCAATTTGTAGTGACATCTCCACTCCTGGTTGTCTTATAAAAGGTATGTTAATGCAGCTGAAGATGATTGAGTCTATAACACTGCAACAATACACTTAAGACTCTTGTGGCACAGTGGTAGTGTGCCTGCCTCTGAGCCAGGAAGCCCAGGTTCAAGTCCCACCTGCTCCAGAGGTCTATTATTATATCTCTGAGCAGGTTGATTAGAAAATATCTGTAGCAGTATCTGGAGGCTGGCCACAGCTGTTTTCTGCTAGCTATGACTCCAGCCAGCGCACAGGTTTCAACCTAATTTCCATCGAGTTCACTTTTTAATGCTGCCTTGATGTCAGGCTCAATCTTTCACCTCACCTGTTGAAGTCAACTCTTTTGTCCATGTTTGGGCCAATTCCTGGAGCTGCATAGTCCCAGAAGAACGGAAACTGAGTATTAGGAAGCAAGCTGTTGGTGAGTAGGTATCACATAGCTGCATTGGAACAACTTGGCAGAGGGTGCAAGCAGTTCTGGAAAATCCATATATCGTGTCACACCTGGGATTTTTATGACAAATGGTCTTTTCTGTTCCTTTTGTGCTCAGCCACTTCTTGATATCACACTGATTAAATTAAGTTGGCTGAATGCTGGTATCCTTGGCGATCTTGGATGGGTGATAAATAATTGACTGGCTGCTTAACCCTCCCGTTTTCTTTCTGTAATACTGCATTATCATCAATGTCACTGGCATCAATAGTCAGTGTAAATGCTTTGCATGATTCAGTGCTCACTTGGGCTATCTCCTGTGGATTCAGTCTGTAGAAATGTTGGTTTATTGGTGATGCACCCCCAACATTAATGTCATGTGTAGCCAAAGACGTTCCTCCTGTCCTATTTACCCAAGTTGTTTCATGAATCAGTAACAGCTTTCATGAGTTACTTCACGAGTTTTCTGGGAGATGACATAATGTTCCATTTAACTTTTCAAGCACCTGCAATCCACTTTGATTACTTGAGTGAAACTTGAA